ACTTTTATTATTATTTTTATTACTATTATTTTTTATACCATTATTACTATTATTTTTATTGTTATTTTTATTGGTGTTATTTTTAATACTATTTTACTATTATTTTTATTATCATTTTTATTACTATTATTTTTGATACTATTATTACTATTATCTTTATTGTTATTTTTATTACTATCACTTTTAATACTATTATTACTATTATTTTTATTATCATTTTTATCACTATTATTTTTATTATTATTTTCCAATCATTATTACGGATAAAAAAATCAAGAGGAAAAAAAAAGCAGATAAATTTTTTATATTTTAATTATTACGAAACTGTACTATATTATACGCAATGAAATATTGATAAAAAAAAAAATAAATAACTAAATTCAACGCAAGTATTGATTTAGAAAAAAAAAAATTAGAATTTAAGGTGAATGATTACTAAACGTTCCCCGAAAAAAAAAAGAATTTTATCATTTATTTTAATCGAAAAATGTTCAAATGTTCAAAAAGAAAAAAGCTAATCACATTAAAAAAAATCGAAACGATAAATTTCGAAGGAATGTATGAGAATTGCGGAATTTATTCATTACATTTCATTTTTATGACAATTATATAACTTATTAATTATACTTCATATGCGATAGTTACAGTACTTATTAATTATAGTTCAATAATAAATTATTTGCTTTATTAAATATGCTAATAAATTTCTTATTTTCAATAAAACTAAACAATTTCAGGAAGAAAATTACATTTTTCTACATATTTGTTTCATATTTTAACAATCAACCGAATGTTTGTATGCAATTGAATTCATTATTAAAGATGAATAAATGTTCTGTTAAATTTTTTTAGTAAAATTTCGATAATTCTAAAATTTTAGTGGATCTCAATCATTACAACCAGTAAAGCAACCATTACTTCATGAAAATCATCATAAGCGCTCAGAAACACATAAAACATCAATTAGACCACCACCTCCAACTATTGTCCTCAGGTAATTAATTATTCTCACATAGCAATTTCAGAGCCTATCAATCAAACTTAATTTAAGCCTAAAGATAGAAAAACAATTCTAAATTAATCTTAACCAGAAGTTTCCGGCCTAAAATACATCATTTCCAATGATAATACTATCTTCGCTATCCATTTGAGGTATTGCTTTTTTTTAGTCCACCAGATGATGCATCACCAGAAAAAGTAAAAGTGATTTTCGAATACAACAATGAAAAATATTCTATGCAACCGAATTTCTTGATCCGGTATAAAAGGATAATATTAACTTTTGCTATAGCGTTGTTGATCTTTTTCTCATTAATATTTATGATATTAGTCATTTATATTGCGCATCGAAGGAGATTATAAAAAACTGGTTATATCATTTGTCATTTGAATATGAAGGTATAAAAGTTACAAGCATAAGGTAACATATTAGCACCGGTAAAATGCAAACAGATAATTGGTAGTCAAGGAAGGATTTAAAAAAAAAAAATGCAAGAATATAATAGAAAACTTATACAGTCATGATGAAGAACCTCAACAACCTAATTTTGTAGTAATGTGATTATTATTTGTAATAATGTACTTTTTTTTTCGTGCATAAGAGAATCAAAAGATTTGGAATTGTAATGATTCATGCAACTGAATACTTCCGCATTCTACACCACATTCTCGAAAGAAACAAATAAATTATAAAAGAATTACATCATAGGAAAACAATGTTCCTTACATCGAGTGAGAAAAAGGATTAACACAAAAATGAATAAAAAAAAGAGTATAAATTAATCTACAACCTGTATTAGCATAAACCTTATGTCACACAATACTGCATTATAAAGAAAAAATCCATTCCATCACTGCTGATACTGCAACTTGAAGCAATTTTTCAGCAGTTATGAAAACAACTTTGCCAAAATGTCGGCCCCCTCAATTCCAATTTGTTCCTGTAGTTCTTCAACTTTCTCTGCGAGCTGATCACGAAGTAAAACCTAAACTATATATTTTTGCATTAATCATCTCTTTTCATTGAAGATTTTTTCTAATGAATTAAATTTCTTCGATTTCAATTCCCAATGTCTTTTTAGCCAAGTAGCAGAACAGTTTCCAATCAGGATCAAAGTTATGCATGCTTTCAGCATCGGCGTCGCTTACTATTGCATGATAAAGAATAATGTAGTTCCGAGTAGTTCCGAGAAGTGCATACCAATAAGATGCTACGTTTAACCACACATTTTTAAATAATTTCTTGCCACTACATAAATTCGTCCAACATTTAATAAAACTGTTGAAATATATAGCAGAGGAATCAAAGAAATGTAAATCGTTAGTCAATATTGCAAGTTCACTTTTCTGTTTGGATTAAACCAAAACTTTCAATACCACTGCCATTTCCTACTCATTAATTCCCAATAGTATTCATATTTTAGCTATAATAATAATCAATGAAAATTTATAGCGAAAATACCTTTGCACTTCTGATGATTGCATTAGCTTGTCGTCTATTAAGATAATCTATGGTAGATACCAGTAGTGATGGATCTGCTGAAGCAATCAAACCAATCGTTTTGAAACCTTAAAACTGATAAATTAGTGAAGTCCGATTGGCCATCCTAAGATTCATTGTTTGCTGATATTTAAATAGAGAATGGCTTCGAAGAAATTCTGCAACGGCCATTTTTGCATGGGAAAAAAGATGGATTTCCAAAGGAGCTGAAAGTTTCAATAAACTGATACCAATAATCTCTGAATTATGGTTATTGTCTTTAACAAAGAATTGTATTTTTCTAGTACCTGCATTATAAAGTTGTCGCGCTCGACCTCTTTTGACACCATCAAGTGCAAGTAAAGGAATAAGCTCCTGCTGCGAACAATCTCGCAAGTGCTGTACCAAATCAGGTAATAAATTTCTCAATGGCCAGAAAGACGGTATTTTCTGTAAACATTATCAAATATCATGATCATATTTAATGAAACATTTGAAAATGTTATTCATTGAATACATCAGTAATTTCAAATAAAAACGTCAACTTTTACCTCTGCAAAACGAGCAATCGAAGATGCCTGTGAACAAGTTGCTTGAAGAACATTTTGAAGCCAACCACGTGTTACATGAAAACGTTCCGCAACATCAGAAAATGTTTCCTGCTTCCACAGTCGGTGCAGCATTAACGAAATATAAAGGCGCAGCGGTGATCCTCCTTCGTTCTGTAATTTATGTAGCAAAAAAAAAAAAAATACATGAACAATTAAATATCACGCACTTAACTATGCTGTTGTAATACGCTGATTGAACATTATGTAGAGGATATTGGATGCAAGCCAAAAGGAACCAGTGTTCTTATACGAACTAATATCTTTAGCGTAACACGATAAACTACCAGGATAAAGCTAATTCGAACCATTTAGCCAAGTAATATTGATAGCAAATCAATGCAAACGAGGATTAAAGACTTCTACAATTTCGGGAATTTAATTACGATCAAGACTAACCAATTTTGGTCGATCGATGAAACATCGAACTAGCTGCTTATCATTCACTCCTAATCGTGCAAGCAAAGTTTGCTCAGATCTTGGCAATGCTTTGTACTGCAATGAACAAATTTATGAAGAACTGGGCATAACGTATGACCTAAACAATAAGTATCGGGGACAATATGTATTTAAAGAATAAAGTAATAAGATTTCAGAAATACTACTTGGTAACAGGGAAGTTGGGGAAATACGAATCACTAAGAGTGATGTGAGTTCGAAACAGAGTTAGAAAAGTTCAAAATTAACAGACATCAAAATATAACTAGAGCCTTCGATGCCATTCTGAAAAAACTAAAATCTGAAAACTATTTTAACTCATAATTTGCACATTTTTCGAATGTGTAAATTGTGCAAAAATGTGTAAACTGAAAACTATTCCGACTCATAATTTCACTCATAATTTACACATTAGAAATAACTGCATATTGAGATACAACCTCATCATAGAATACATCCCAATCAATATCGACATTTATATCGAACGGCACCATCATAAATAATAAATGAAAATGTGAAGACAATACAACACCCTGAAAAATATCACGTGTTCACGAAAAAAAAAGAACCTTGACAAAAATCAACAATTGATATTTTCGTACAGCGGAAATTAAGAACTTTACTCAAATTATAAAAACAACTATCAGACATGTTAATGGATGGAATAGTCGGTATAGCTTTATAGCCACTGTAGTAAGTCGAACAATCAGGAAGCTAATCTATGCGAGTCTGAGGTAATCGCTGCATAGTCCAAGATGCAGTGCCTCCAAAATGATTTAAATAATTAGAGGATCAAGTCTAATCCAATACTAGTTTGAATAATGAAACATTATCAAAATAACGTCATTTTTGGTAGAGCAACTGAATAAAAGTTATCCAAATGAAATTGTGATTATTAAATATCCATATTCGAACAATAATTATCAGACATGCTAGTTGCTGCAGTTTGAACTTTGTGTTTATATTGCTTAATATATCCAACTAGACTTTTCAGTTTCAAGTTATAAAAATTCTGATCAAATAGTTTCCAAAAACTCGACGAAACATATCATAACTTTTCAAAATCTTTCAAAACCTATAATCAATTACATTAGTGTCCCAATGATTTCAACTGAAATTATATGACATCAAATCACTTTTAGAAAATTGAAAGAGCTTACTTCGCTCAAATTATTTGATAATAAAGTGCACATCTGCGGTGCCAACAGTGGTGATAAAGAAGCCGAAAAGACTGCTGTACCGAAAATTGAAGCTGAATAGTTCCCATCCTTAAAGCAATGTAGCATAAATTCGTATGCGTACTGCAGAATCTCGAAAAAAATTTCAGAATTAATTACTTATTTCATTTTATCACAGGTAACATTGAAAAAAATAATCTTACCGTATCAATATTCACTAAGTCGTGCTTTGTTAAATATTCCAACATTTCCCTTAGCAGCTCTCCACTATTATTATTTTGTATTCCAAATAGCGTTTGTTGTACTACAATTTCCAGCTTTTCCAACCGTTGAGCCATTTGAAAAAAGAAAAAAAAATTATGGAACATATTTTCCGACAGTAACATAACTACAAATAAAAGTTCTGAAACTTATCAGTTACATTTAATAAACAAATAAAGAAATCGTAAAATCACTAATCTTCAATGAGATCAGATCTAGCAAAAACGATGAAAACATGACTGGTTCATTTAATGAGCTATTACATTCCGGTAAAGGTCCACTGATCATGTCCAAAAACTAAAACAAAACATGAGTGAAAAAAGAAATCAGCTGAACAATTCTAAAAATGCCTTTCGGTTTTCCCATAGTTCAAAAAAAAGCTAGAGTTAGCACTCAAAGACTGAAATGATTACCACTTACTTAAGTGGAACATATGATTTACCATGTCATGCTTTTAAAACAATTATTATTTTATCCTTTTCCTTATACAGAAATCAATACCTCACGGTCTCGTAATATTATTAAGGTTTTGCACTAAAAAGTCTAAAATATATTATCAACTGACTTTGCTTTCCTCATAACCAGAATGCACGATTGTCACTGCTTCTCCTATGTCATCATAACCAGCTCGACCAGCACGACCTATCATTTGCAGATATTGCGCCTTACGAATCGGCTCTTTGCCAACCAGTGGAGCTTTGATTATTACTCGGCGGGCCGGAAGATTAACTCCCGCTGCCAAAGTAGAGGTACAGCAGATTATATTGATAATCCCATCCTCAACATTAAAACTACAATTTATTTGAAAGCATGGTTTTTTTTTTTGTTTAAACCGAATCGTCTAAAACTCTAAAGCTTAATTTAAATTATGTCCAAAATAAAAGTCCCAATGAAGAGTCGAAAATGAACTCGAACATTCACTTTCACTGTGTTACAAAGTCTGAACAAAAAAAAAATCTTTAACTTAACACAGCAACCTGAAAAGCGCCTTCAATAATCTTTCTTTCGTCGGCTGTTAAACCACTATGATGATAGGCAACGCCACGCATGATGCTTAATTCTAATAGAGAAGAAAACTTTCCATCTTCCTCACTTTTCAAAGCTTTTACTGCAGCCAGTCTTTCGGTTTTTTTACGTTCGCGGACATTCCTGAATTTACAATTTATAAGGATATCTTGAGTTTGTAATATCATTACATCCCGAAAAAATCGGTAATTTACGACCTTATCTTGGCCAACGAACATTGGATCAATTAGCAACTATCATCAGCGCTGATTTCTAGAAAAATGCTTTATAGATTTTAAACAGCGAAGACAACTGATTTCTAGAAAAATGCATTATAGATTTTAAACAGCGAAGACAACAGAAAGGAACAAACTTTGGCATCAAGTGTGAAACCGCTTTACAAACACTTTCACAATTCTGTTTGGTGGGGCAAAAAATAAGAACCGATTGCTTCGGTACAATATCCCGTAACAGAGGTACCAATCCATCTGGGTCACGGTTTCTTAATTTCTGAAAAAAAATGTGCTTTAACATTATCGAAATTAGTAGCTTAACAAAAGTGAATCAATTACTGCAAGCATATTAGCAAAACTGAATGGAAATAACAAACTTTGGATTATAGCAACACACACATTTTCACCTAAGCACATCTCGAATTCCAATTTCCCCTCCGGTTGTACAATATACAACGAGTTGTCAATCTTCACCTTTTCTACCAGTTTAATCTAAAAAGATTTTAGTAATCATAAATGTTCTGATAGTGAAGTATCGAATCATATGCATCCAACAACTGAACATTCTTTGCCATTTAAATCAATGCTTTAAATGAATCCTAAATTTTTTTTCTTCGTCATTTAAACAGGTAAGCTATATACCGAAACAATTTTTCAACATATAACTTGCCTGTCTTATTGACATAATTTTGCATACTTACAGGGCGAAATTTTGTTGAAAATACCGCTGCACTGAGAAATTTTGAAAGCTGTTCAACGTTCGAAAGAGTTGCTGATAAACCAATTATTTGACCAGTTCCTGAAATTTCATATCCTGCCATATTAATTGAAATTCTTGAAAACTAAATTTACTGAATGGGTAGTCCCATTCATATGCCCAAACTACATTTAATTTTCTTCCCACGCTGAAAACTGTTTGATTCCTGTACAAATACATCTCATATTTTCCCCAAGAATATCTTTCTTCCTTTTTACAATACAGTAGAATCAAACCAGAAAAAGAAAAAAACTCACGACCTTTCTGCATAAATTTGATCAGCCCTTGTTCTATAATTGCTCCCCGAGTATTTTCTCCTATCATATGCAACTGAAATATCAGTACGAATTGCCATCTGATGAACAGTCATAAAATTCGTTTTAAGTTTCAATATATAACCTCTGCATCTCTCAAGTCATAGAATAGTCATTTGTGACTACAGTGGTGTGCAAGGGTAGTCAGTAAATGAAACCAAAATGATTAAAATAACTTCATACTTCACTACACAGTCAAAACACATGTTTTGGATCATTTACTATAAAAAAATCATAGTGATGACCGACTAATGGCATATATAATTATTTACTTCATCCACCACTACAACTCCAATTTCGTCAATGCGGTCCAGTTCTATCAAACTATTAATTAACATGTTTGCTTTTTCAATGGTCGCAACATATATAGATTCCCCTTTTCGACGTTTGATTGGTGGTAAACGACCTGAAAATATACACCGATTTCGAATAGACCACTGAAGTTGCATGCAGTATTTAAAATGAAAGCAATCAATCCTGTCAATCAGTGCTGTTCTGCTACAAAACTACAACGAACATAAGTGCCTTCTTCGTCCTATCCTCTTTTCAGAAGGCATACTGCTTACTAATGATTCAAACAATTTAATATTGCTAAATAGCTAAAATGCGAATATTTTCATAAGCACCAATTAAACTTAGATGGTTCTTAGTCAATTTAACTGAATCCTACGAATGTTTCATTCAGCTTCAACATCAACTATATCAGTCCTCATTTCCGAATAAGCAGATACTGGACTTAGTTTTTACCAAAAAAAGTGCGAAAGACATCATTCAGAACATGGATTTTTTCAGGCTGGTAATCCACAGTGCTTTTGGATATGAACTGAAAAATATTGTCGATTTATGAAAACTGTATTCAATTTATACTTCCATGTTTAAAGAAGGCTAAACAAACAATCATAACCGAAATCTCCAACCTTTGCTTGCCGCATACTCCTCCACGCAAACATTTAGCTTATCCTCGAAAACCGACAACGAATAAACCTAAATTGGGATAACCGATAAAAATCTTTCAAATACGAATGAAAATAAGTCGATTAGAATTTTTAAACGAGTCTCGTAAATTAAAAATTCAACCAAATAACGTATTCAAAACTTGAACGATGAGGTTTTCCATACATTTGTAGATTGCTAATGTATTTTATTTCCATTGCGATATTTTTCAAGCTGCATAAGAATTTACTTTCTCCTGAGCGATTGCGACATATGGTACGACAAGGATGCAACTCCTTCGTCGGAAAATTGTTTCTCGTAGCATCACAATCTGAAATAACCTTCCTGTAAAAGTTCACAGTTCGAACACTATCCTTATATGCTTATTATCACTTGGTCATTAATATCAATTCAGTCAGTAGAATAATTCAATGGTAAACATTTAAGCGTTTTTCTCAAAACCATCCATGAACAAACAAATAAATTCTCATATTTACATAATAGAAATATTATATCAAAAAAGAACAAAGAACCTCTGCAACAAGAGTTTTCCCTGCACCGGTGCCCATTGATATAATCATATTTGTGCCACTTATCAAATGTTCGTCATTTAAGCACTGGTTTTGCCAGTCTAGAAATAACGTATCCTTGATTGAAAGAATTAGTAGAAAATCAAACAGTAAAGAATGCTATGTCTTGCAAAATATTAATGATTACAGTCAACTTCTAACCAGTTATCATTATTCGTACTTTTCCTACAAGCAGAAGCATTCAACAGAAGAACGATGCAATAGTACGAAGAATTGCTCAGATAATAAAAGGTAATGGCTAGAAATCAGCCGATAAATGATAGCATATTATAATAAAGAGCAAAATAATATGACCACATACCATAAAATGACGAAATATTTCGTAGATTCCTGTACATTTCACAAATATTTTCCATTTCCTCGAACGCATTAATTCGAGACGTGCAAGCCGAAGTTATGCAACCGGAATCAGATCTACTTTCCTGAAAATTATCTTAAATAAATTACTGGCAAAAAAAATTTGTCTGATACCCAACTACTTAACCGTTTTGTTTTGCAATAATATTAAGATGGATGAAACCATTGCTTTACTTTAAATTATTCAAGCATTCTTTTCTTCAAATTCCTTCGCTTGCAATAAAATTAGGTAGAAATAACGTTCCAGAAACAAAAAATAAACTTACTTGTGTGTCAACTTGCAATTGTGTCATTTGAGCAAAATTAACAATTTGTCTGTCGGCTTCATTCTTTCTTCTCCTAGGTGAAGTGAAACCTGAAAATTATTGAATTCAGCAGATTCTAGAAAGATATATACTACAACGTTATCACAACTGAATTTCATAGGGAACAAAAATAAATAAAATGATAACTACAGATCCCCTTCATGTATACCTGAACTATCGTGTTGTATTTCCGGTATTTTGAATTTTTTCATGCAATTTTCCGGATGAGATATCCGTTTGAGCAAAACTGAGATTTATGTCTTACTGCACATGAACTAAAATAACGTATTAAGAGGTTTTCAAGAATCAGTGCAATGAAATATACAATGAATGACGTCTTATTCACTTTAGTATGTTAACCTCCTACAAACTTGATTAATCATTAAATATTTATACCATTATTTTAATTTTCTCTAGAAGTGATTCACTAAATGATAGCAATAATTACTTAATTCATTTTGTCTATTCTAGATGATTCTAGAAATTCTTTTCCCTTCCCATAGTTTACAAATATCTCAAAAATTTATAAAGTAACTTAAAATTTTGGTAGATTCCAGTTTTCTATTTTAATTTTAAAAAAAAACATATTTTCAAACAGAATACAAAATTCCCCTTTCATTGGATATGAAATTCTCCATATAAAAAATCCCCAAATGAAAGGAGTAAGTTTAAACTTCAATAAAATAAGGAAAAACCTTGGTGATTTCCTTGGTGTTTCCAAAATTATTTTAGTAGGAATGTTATCGTCACTATTACTCAATAGCTTCATTGATGTTTCTTTTATAATATCATAATTTTCAGAAACAATCGATTAAGGATCGAATTTGAGGAGACATATTCAGTTTTCTGGAAAAATTAATGAATTTAAAACTATATTTTATTTATTTGCTTATTCATATTTATAGCTATTTATTTAGCTAATTTATTTCTTCACTAGCTTTTTCATGGAAAAAAATCATTAAATTAGTTTAGTTTTCCTCTTTTCCAATTTATGTTTTCCGAAAAAAAAAAAACACACGTATAGCATTAAATGACACGTTCCCTTTCTTACTTGATTACTCTGCACAATATCTCCACTACTCTCGATCACTGCCACAGTAATTTGCAAACAGTCCATCAACAAACTTTCGCAATTCTTATCAATCTTTGTGTTTTTACTCTCAAAAAGACAGCTATATTTGCAAACTTCATCAATCTCTCACAACACATTCTCTAAGTATTCTCATCAAACCGTGTTATCTCCTCAATACTTATGCTATTTCACTACCTCCAAATTTTATCGCAAACCAATCTAAGCTCAACCGCATTGTTGCTCCTTTCCTTGACTGATGTTATTCGTGGCCCGTGAAAATTGCTTTTGACATGAGATTTACTTTTAACGGACCAGTTATTTTTAGTAATGAAAATTCCTTTATTTCATCTTCTAAACTTCTGTCAATCAAACGTATCTTGTTATCTAACCGTTCACGTACGTAGACGATATGTAATTTATTCACGCAATCCGATGAAGCTAACGTGAGGCTTCGCTTAGTAACAGTGCAGAGAAAGTGGATGAAAATCTAAATATGTGAGTGTATACAGTAATTTCGACTAATAACGTTTTACGAACAAATATCTGAATCTATGATGGTTTCCGTGGATTAAGTTTATACAGAAATGATATCTGCAGAAGGAAATCTAAATGCGTGAATTCTTTTCTTGTTTCTCAGATATTTGTTCTTTCATTTTCAGATGACTTTTCTTCATTTTGTAAATTGTGTAGCACTATCGTACGCACCATATTTTATCGCATACAGATATTCGGGACTATCAGAATATTGCTCCATATGGAAATGCGCACATGCAGCTTTGGCATACTTTTTGACGCAGCTCTGCAAAATGCTCGTCCTTGCAACATTCTTTCCAGCTAGCGATGTTAATGGATTTGATTTAATCCCGGTATGTTGGTGAACTTTGGCTTCTGAAGCTTTCTTTATCAGTCCAAATTCTAAATTAAACTTTGATGTTGTTTTTGGACTTAATAATATTTTGCATTTACATTAGGTATTTTTGTGTAACCTCGATGTAGGATTTGAATTTGGAATTTTACTTTATTGTTATATTAGCCAATATAAAACCAAGTTTAATGTATGGCTTATTTATGAAGGACGGGTTTTTTCTGATTTTTTAAAAATTTCAATAAAATGTGGTTTATGTGTCGATAAGTCTTTCTGAATTCAGTGCTTGATCTTTAGGTCTGTGATATGCTCAGGATTTTCAAAACTTTTATTTAGGAATTAATGAAAGCAAGCGCAGATATTTTCGATGTAATGGGTCTGCACGCCGTGATCTTTTATCTGATGGCAGGCAAAAGTGAAATCCGATTTCTGGCTGTCGGTATAGGCTGGGCTTTTGCTCATAGGTAATTATCTGACATGATTTGTTTTACATGGGTATTTTAATTAGTTATTTCTGCACGTGGAAATTGAAAGTCAATAATTGATTAAATAGTATGTTTATCAGTTTATCTCTCAAGGAGTTTGGATTGGTTTGGACTTAATTGTGAAATTTTGGTTCGTCTTTCCGTACTGCTTATAGGAAACTTATTCATGCAACTTTTTCTCTATGTTATTTCTCTTTTCTTTATCTTAAAAAAAAGAATGGGATAGACTTCAATCATTTTCAAGATTCTGAAAAGTAGAATAAGCTGCATTTCGGTTAAAATATAGGGATAACTTAGAACGATATAAATCCTTAATATCTAGTTTCGATGAAAAGAGTTGTCAGTTCAGTTATCTGGGAAATGTTGTAGATTGTGCTAAGTGATAATGAGAAGGAATCTATTTCAGTGTAGCCAGTCGCTTGGTTGGTTTTTGGGTTGGTGCCCGAGCAACGGCATTTCACTGGAAATACATTCAAATGGCCCTAAATTCCAACATTGACCTAATTTTTATGTTGGTAAGTTGTTATTTTCTGTTATTTCAGTTCTCTTTGTTTTCTTTTTGTTTTGAAAGCTGAATTACTATAGTTTTTTGTGGATAAGTTTATTTTGATATTTACGGAGCTGTACTAAAAAGACGAGACGAATGAAGGAAACGTAAACATGTTTTTCAGTAAAAGCCATCGATAAGTCCATTTATGCTAATATTCTTTTTTTCTTTTTTTTTGCAGCAATGGCAGCATTGGTGTGGTTATTCACCCGTAATGATCTCCGGTCAGGAATGAAGCGAATGGTTACTTTATTGATTGCACTCTGTGTTTTCCATGAATTCATTGAGCAGTAAGCTTATTTACTGATTTGTAAAGTAAATATTTCATTGAATACTGTCATACAGATTGGGAAGGAGTGTACCTGGCTGATTAGGAAGATTGAGATATATTTT